TATGTCAGTGTTGTGGACTTGTGTTTCCTTGTTTTACCCCTGTCTTAGTTCCTGTTTTCCTTTTTTAGTCATGCTTCCTGTTCGTGTCATCATTGTGTTAATTTGTATCCAGCTGTGTTTGATTAATTATCTCGTTTGCCCCTTGCATTTAAACCCTGTGTTTCCTTGAGTCTTCGTCCGCTGTTATGTCATCCCTAAGTTCCAGTGTGTGTATCCCTTGGCTTGTTGAATTAAATTCTAGTTGAAGTATTCTCCTGTGTCTTCTCGTTCCTCCCAGAGAATCGTGACACTGGAAGCCTCATCAGCCGTCTTAGTGCATCAGAGCAATGTCTGAATTTCCAAATGCATGACAGGGCATCCATAGAATGTGATTCAATTTCCATTTGTATTAAATTGATATAGTTCGCCCAAAAATAAAAAAACCTCAAAGGCATATATATTTAGTTTTGATTTATCTAGTCAATGAAAGTCACTGGGCTTAAGGGCAAAAAGGGCATGTGTTCTGCACAGGTTGAGCCCTACCTGTGCACGTGCCTGCTGGGCTCAAATGTTGTTTCGAACACCACTGACCATTGAATGGGCAAGAACAGTTCTAAAATACCTTATTTTATGTTCTACAGAAAAACTCTGAGAGATTTTTGGAACAGCTTGAGGGTGGGTAAAAGATGATAGAATATTAATTTTTGGCTAAAAATGGACTTATAACATAGTAAATACTCTCTAAAAATGGGGTTATTTTTTCAACCCAAACACTGGGTTGAGCATGCTGGGTCATTTTTTGGGTTCTTCAACGTTGGGTAGTTTGTGTTATAACCAGTAGCTGGGTGAAATGCAGCCCTTTCCCACCACTTGATGTAACAATCCAGCAATTGAGTTACTGAGCGCATACTCTTTTCGTCCTTTTCAGTGCAGAGTAGTTCTCAGTGCTTCTAAATTTGTGCATTTCTTCGGTGAAATACAGGTTTGTGTGTGTTCTATTTCAACTAAAAAAAAACATTTTATTTTACGCAAAATAACATATAGGGACGCAATGTCAGTCAACTAAAATCTAGCAGCTGTATCTTCATGTGATGGAAATCTTATGCCTTGCATAAAATAAATTCCTAATTTTATTCATAGTTACTCAATCTGCCGTAATTACTTTGGATGTTAAAATACGTTCTCAGAGCTGTGCACTGTTTATGGGCAGGTTATGGAGTGAGTCACAGCATAATTTCGCCTACGAATGAAACGCAGGGCAGCTGTGTGAGGTTTGCAGTTCTCCCACCATACACGAACGAACCCCAGCTCTGGCACAAGATTCAGCATGGTTTCAATGGAAACGGGATCACAGAGACCGGTTGATCAATTCTAAAATGTTTGTTAAAAGACTTTAAAGGAAATATTAAGAACTGTCCTCTCCGAAAATAAAGGAAGATGTCATGTATAAACTACTGCGTGTGTTATGTATTTTACAAAAATTTAGGGGATTCAGTTAATTTGTAAGTACTAATTCATGTATGAGTTTAAAAAAAAAAGCCATTATTGTAAAATCAACCCATTGTAACGGGGCTGACGAGACGTGAAAAACAAGGAAAACACAGAGACTCGGAATGGGGTACGGGCTAAACAATACTCAGCAGAGAAAGGTGGTTAGAGTGGGTGTTATATAGTGAGTGAGGTGATTAGAAACAGCTGTGTGCAATGAGTGCAATCAGTGCAGTGTGCAAATCGTGCAAAGAATGATGGGATATGT